ATGTTGTAACAAGAGTACACACAGAGATGGACGCAGTTCAACCATTTTGGCTTCAACCACCATCTTGGCAAAAGGGTTAACCATTCTGACAAAAATTTTTCCCCCTCATTCTCCCCCTCCCTCTCTGAGAGTCACAGCTACATTTGGCCAGTGTGTATGTGTGTTAGGAGTGTCACAGGAGGCCAGGGCCCAGCAGGGGGCTAGGAGCTATAAAGTCCCCAAGGGAGCTGGGGCCTAGCTGTCCAAAGAACCTGTGCAATGTAACACCTCGCATAAGATAAGGCAAGCTTTCCCAGAGTTCAAAGAACATTCCCAGGAAACACGACTAGATAACCTTTGTTAAAATCCGTTTTTCCCCTATGTCTCATATCTTGGAATATGAGAGACTTACATAAAAACCGGACATATCGTCAGACTGGCTAAGAGGAGACAAACATTTTGTTAGGTCTCTCTCCTTGTCTCGAATACATAGGAAAGCCGAAAAGTAGATCTCGTGAACCGTTCAGTGTATAATTTCATAATTCATATCTAATCAATCCTCAGACGTGTTTGCATAATAATCTACCCGTGGAATGTCACTTGTGCAGATGGAAATTTATGGGCCTTGGTCCTTGAATTTATGGGTATTGGTCCTTGACTTCAGAGACACCCCCTAATGGGGAACTACAAATTGGGCAGTCAGGCCTAACAGAGGAAGTTGAAGACGTCTCCCATTTTAACATCAGTACCACTTGGGGAGACCCGTGCCCTTTTGCTCTGAAACTTGGATCTGCTAACCCAGGACTTTGGCATGTACCTCTTTGCTGTACTGTTGGTCTCTGTATATTTATATATATATTAGTTACATCTTTTTCTGTAAATATTTTTATTGCACCCCTTTCTGACTTTTCAGTAATAAATCTTTCCTTCTGAAAGTGTTGAACTGTTTCTATAGCTCTTAATTGCAATTTACGAATTCCTGCCTCTAAAAGAGACGCTAATGAGTTTGTTTAACCCTCTGTATAACCGACCTGCGGTGACCGTTTTATACAGATGATTATCTCAACCATTATAGTGTTATAGCTGATATCGGCGAGTTTTCTCTTTCTCTGTACAAAAAGGAGGTGGTGGCAGTGTGAAGGGTTAATTGCGTAATTAACCTGACCCAGTAACAATCGCATTCAGGCTGCTGGTACATCAATTGGGGTCCAATTAGCTAGATAATCGTTGTGCAGGGTGCAGCTGAGTGTGGCATTCTTACGCACGTGACATCGCGGTTTTATATTGGCTAGTCCTTCGGTCATGAGTTTGGTGAGAAGGGCTGGGGTCTGACGCTGCGTTTGTTACATATTGGTGACAGCAATCGTGGGATCATCGCATATTGGTGGCAGTGACCTCGCGTCCGTCACAGATGTATATTCACAAACCAAAAAAAATTAAAAGCAGAATATGTAGTCCACAATGGCAGTCAATACAATGCTGTGCCCCAATTAGGGATAAGCTGACACATTTCAGGAGACGTATCCCCTTCTTCAGAGCTGCACAATAAATATGTGGTGTACCACAGTAATGCACGATGAGAGTGCGCCCTTGTTTGCTTTTGTTCATCATATATGAATAGGCCGCAATGTAGCTAAAATTAAGATAGAGAATATAAATGAATATACAACTAATAAAAGGCAATAAGGGTTAGATGATAGCGGTAATCTGTAACAAGCCAATTACTTATTAGTATCCATATAAGTGATATCCAAAGGACACTTTTATCAAGAAGGGATAGACAGTACTATGGTTAAATTGAGAAGAGCACAGGCAGTTGATTCCTAAATCATCCTTTATATAATCCTATAGGGGAGAGAGAAGAGCCCACACTAAAAAAGCAGCATTCTACCGCTCTTACCAAGAGAAAAACAGTATAGATGATATTAACAGCAATCCCCCATACAAGGTCTCATATGAACCCTACCAACCATTCATGAATAGTAATGTACCTTAAATTAGTGTTCCAAGCATCTCATCACATGGAGTGTTCATTGTTCAGCAGGTGTACATATTACTGTTACCTCGAATTAGCTATAATATAAAAGAAAGGGGATTTCATGCAAAGTAACCATAGATTACAGCCTGTAAACCATATAGATCAAATCGATGTGGCTTAATCATACTGTTACCTGCAATATGCTGACAGGTAGATATATATCCAGTTGATGTCAACAGTAGTGATGGGCCGAACACCCCCTGTTTGGTTCGCGGTCAAACATTTGAACATATCGAAAGTTTGAATGCGAACTTCGAACAGAGGGGACAATTCACTAATCAGTATCTTACATCATCTGAGTATGTGGTAAGATATTACACAGCTATTAAAAGCATTCTTTAATGTATCAGCCGTCAGCAGGGCTGCCAGCTGACTGCTGAATGTAAAAAGAATTGCTGGCATTGCCCGACAATTAAAAAAATAAACAATAAAAAAATGTGCGGGTTCCCCCTCCATAAATACCAAGCCCTTCAGGTCTGGTATGGTTTTTTGGTTCACGCCAAAATGTAAAAAAAAAAATGGTGTGGAGGTCCTCATCCAAGCATGCAGCCTGACAGGTCAGGAAAAGGGGGGGATGAGTCTGTGCCCCCCTCCTGAACCATACCAGGCCACATGCCCTCAACAAGGGATGGTGCTTTGGGGCAGGGGGCCATGTTGATAGGGACAAGGGCTTCTTCATGGCTGGTGGTTGTGGGGATTTGCGGGCTGGGGGGCTTATCGGAATCTGAAAGCACCCTTTAACAAGGGGGCTCTCAGATCCTGGCCTCCCTTATGTGAATGAATATGGGGTACATGGTACCACTATTCATTCACAAAAAAAAGTGTAGTGTAAAAAAATGTCAGTAGACAGTCTATTACCAAGTCCTTTATTAAAAACAAGCAAAAAAAAGTCCCCTGAAGTAGTTCCAACACCAATCATGATGCCTTCCACCACCGCCTACCTGAAAACAATTAAAAATTAAACGCTCCACTCTCGATCCTGGCTCCTACCATCTGACAACTGCACTGGGATGACAGTTCTTAAATACTGTGATGACATCATGTTGTGATGTTGTGACGATGTTGTGACGCCATCATGTGCTGTGATAGGCCAAAGAGATGCACCTGACCAGGTGACAGCCCGCCTAACACCCTTACCATTCGTGTGTTAACCAAACACACAAATGGCTGATCTTCGAGTTGAACATATAGCCCATCACTAGCCAACAGTGCCCATTTAATACAATAAGGGTGTTGGGCCACCTATAAGCAACATTTTTTATTTGGCTTCAAATGTTACAAAATCAACACGATACAAATAACACAGAAACTGCCTTTTCCCACACACCAAATCAGTGCATCTCACCTCGGTACAGTAAGAGACCTACGTAGACTGTCGCCACAACAAAAAAGTGCTCAGCGTGCTCCTATATAATCCTAAATCTGGTGCAAAAATGCCACCAAAAGATGCCATGGCTGCATTTATGAATTCAATCTGTAACATCATCAGCCCACATCTGCGCCTAACTTGAAGAAAACCGTTACTGTTTGGAGAGAAAAAAGTTCAACATGAAGATACTGTTAGAATCATCACTACATTTTTCTAGCCAACATTTACAGATCAGGAATGTCATACAAAAAAATTGGCACCTCCTGACCAGTGATCCCATTCTTGAAAAATATATAAAAGATTAACTGGAGATTACATTTAAAAGGTTCAAATCTATCACGGACCAACTGGTCCATAGCCATTTTGAAGTCAAGACAGAAGAGTTTGAAGCTAGGAAAAGCACATATATTGGTATTTCTCAATTGAAAAAAGAATATGTGCTGCAAAATTTGTAGCATATTAAACAATCTCAAATGAAAAGCAATATATACTATATATTAGAAGAACAACTGTTAAATCAAGATACACAGTTGGAACACAAGTAGGAGGTGAACCTTAGTCACTTTTACTCACCAGACTGCAGCACCTATTTGAGAGTTAATTGTTGCCAATCACCACCAGCTGAGAGGAAACATATTTTTCTCAGTGACTTGTATTGAAAATATACATACAATTAGAAAGAATATTTATATTTTTAAAACAGACATTTTCCAGTAGCACAACATATCTTAACAAGGACAATGCTTTAAACCATTTTGTCTGAAATAAAGGTAATACATTCTGTAACACTGTCTTTTGGGTCATCTCAACAAAAAATTAGATAATTTTTATTGTTAATATTTTATTATTTTTATTCCACATGTACTATGGTGGTTGCATCTAAAATATTTTACAGTGTAAGTGTAATCCCCAATGCTACTCATAGTAGCGTGTTCTCTGTCATGGGTCATGGCAGTCTTACATCTGAAAATTGTAATGGGTTGTTAATAAATACAAACTACCAGAATCTGATGTCTATTAATATTTATTGGAAACTGACAACAAAAAAAACATATTTGTTGGGACAATGCTTTAGACCCCCTTTTTCTTAGTGGGGGTAGATGGTATGACCCTGGTTTGGCAGTTTTTATCCACTTTCTATCCATTTTCCATCTGGTTCACCTGGGTAAAACAGAAGATTTGGTGTGTGGGGAGGGCAGTAGATCTCAGCCTTCCTATGGCTAAAGCTAGGGGATTTTCCTGATTCTGTCTCAAATAAAGCACCTCAACTCAGACAGGTCTTGGACTTTGTAAGTGGGACATCATCCTGAGAACATCCTATCTCTAGGCAGTCACATATACTTTGTTTCTTTCATTAATTCAGTTCCATTCCTTAACTAGTTGCCGACCGCAGATAGCCGAATGGCGGCTGCACTGCGGCTGGCCAGTTCTGAGTGGACGTCATATGACGCCCCTCCCAGAACGCGCTCTCCTGCGCACCCCAAGGGGCGCGCACCCGGCGATCTCCGTGATTGCTGTGTCCTACGGACACAGCTGATCACATGATGTGGTAAAGGGCCAATCACAGCGGCCTTTTACCACGTGATCAGCGGTGTCCAATGACACGCTGATCACAGGGAAATGCCGGTTCTCGGCTGCACTTTCCTCACGCTGTCAGATCGTGAGGAAAGTACTGCCGAGAACCGGCAGTTGTCAGAGCGGGGATCGGCACCGATCATCAGGGCACTGATGATCAGTGCCCTGATGATCGGTGCCCAGCAGTGCCACCCGCAAGTTCCACCCACCTGTGCCCAGCAGTGCACCCACTAGCTCCGCCCACCTGTGCCCAGCAGATCACCCACCTGTGCCCAGCAGTGCACCCACCTGTGCCACTCTGCAGTGCCACCTACCTGTGCCCAGAAGTGCCACCTACCTGTGCCCAGCAGTGCCACCCACCTGTGCCCACCAGTGCCACCCACCTGTGCCCACCCACCAGTGCTGCCCACCAGTGCCACCCACCAGTGCAGCCCAGCAGTGCTGCCAGTCAGTGCCACCAGTCAGTGCCCAGGGGTTGTGCCAGTCAGTGCCGCCAGTCAGTGCCCAGAAGTGATGCCAGTCAGTGCCGTCTATCAGTACCCATCATCAGTGTCACCTATCAGTGCCGCCTATCAGTGCTGCATATTAGTGCCGCCTATCCGTGACACCTCATTAGTGCTGTCTATCAGTGCCGCCTATCCGTGCCACCTCATTAGTACTGCCTATCAGTGCCCTTTAGTGCTGCCTATCAGTGCCCATCAGTGCCGCCTATCAGTACCCATCAGTGCTGCCTCATCAACGCACATCAGTGAAGGAGAAAAAATACCTGTTTGAAAAATGTTATAATAGAAACAAAGAAACTTTTTTTTTTTTTTTAATTTTTTGCAATTTTTTTATTTATAGCGCAAAAAGTAAAGTGCCCAGTGGCGATTAAATACCACCAAAAGAAAGCTCTATTTGTGAGAAAAAAATGATCAAAATTTCATATGGGTACAATGTTGCATGACCGCGCAATTGTCAATCAAAGTGCGGCAGCGCTGAAAGCTGAAAATTGGCCTGGTAAATAAGCTTTAGTAGAATTTATGTGGAGATAAAAGGGTGACATACCCAAGTATCAGTCTCCTACCAAAAATCTCTGGGTGGGGTTCAATTACACAAGAACACAGCAAGTTGAAGTAACATTCTACAAACATATGAGTGTGTATCTGTTTTCTTAGGCACACAGCCTGCCAGTAGGCCACAAATTGTAGGTACAATGTTTTAATATAGCTTAACCCAGGGGTGGGCAAACTTTTTGACTTGAGGGCCGCAATGGGTTCATATATTGGACCCGGGGGCCGGACCAAGAGTAGATGAATGATGTGTATGTGTCATCCATAGTAACTATAGTAATATTCCCCCATAGTAAGCATAGTAATTAATCCCCCATATAGTAATTCATCCCCCATAGTAATTCATCCCCCATATAGTAATTCATCCCCCATAGTAATTCATCCCCCATAGTAATTCATCCCCCATATAGTAATTCATCCCCCATAGTAATTCATCCCCCATAGTAATTCATCCCCCATATAGTAATTCATCCCCCATAGTAATTCATCCCCCATAGTAATTCATCCCCCATATAGTAATTCATCCCCCATAGTAATTCATCCCCCATAGTAATTCACCCCCCATATAGTAATTCATCTCCCATAGTAATTCATCCCCCATAGTAATTCATCCCCCCCTATAGTATTTCATCCCCCACAGTAATTCATCCCCCATATAGTAATTCATCCCTCCTATAGTAATTCATCCCCCATATAGTAATTCATCCCCCCTATAGTAATTCATTCCCCATATTAATTCATCCCCCATATTAAGTCCCCAAGTCTCCCCTGTGTCAATTCGCTTACCTTTGCTCCGCGCGTTCCTCTCGCCGTGTTCTAATTTGCTTTCTAATTTCAGAAAGATGTTTTTCAGTGGTAAGTGTACCCATTACTATTTTTGCTAATTCTACATTTTCAACTATACCTAAACCTGGGGTGTACCTACAGGTGTTGCAGTTGTGAACCAGGCCCCATGCTGCAGGGGACCGGCAGGGGTGACTGCATACAGAGGAACCATTCTCTCCATGTTCTTCCTGCAGCAGCTGAATGCCTATGGGAGGTAGGGGAAGAAAAGCCAGCATTTCTGAATTTTTGCAGGAGGAACTTGGAGAGATCAGTTTCTCTCTATGCTGCCACCCCTGCTGCTGCTCCTCCTATCCAACAGTTTTCTGTTGCCCCTGTGTGCTCTCTGTACCCCTCATGAGTTCTTTCCTGGCTCCCGCTCTCTCTTGCCAACCTCCTCCTCGCTGGGTTCCCCCCTCCCCTCTCCCGCTAATGGCCACTGACATTTCTGAATCGAGAGTCAGTGGTCTGTACTGATTACTGACTTTGTCCATTCATAACTGAAACATAATAATATGGTTTACTATGTTTCAGTTTGTGAATGAACAGGAAGATCTATACAGAGCTATTCCTGTTTGTTCATTCTGTGCAGCTAAGGCTACAGAGAAGATGACTAAGGGCTGTGTTTTCAATCTCTTTTTTCTGTCTCAAAGGTGAAACAACAGAGGTCTGTTTCAACTCTTGATATTTCAACAAAGCCCCCCAACAGTGATCCTAAAAACACTGTAAAAATAATTTCTTAAAAATATTGCAAAAGAAGTAAAAAATGGTTAAAAAAAATAAAAAATAAAATAACAACAATAAAAAAAAACTATTGACACCAGTGGCAGAACCACTAGGGTCACATACTTGTGACCGGATCTTAGTGCTTAGCCACTGGGCTTGGAGGGAAGGGCCCTGGCTGAGCATCAGAGGGGCCATTCATGGTTTCTGGAATGTTCTAGTTACCCCACTGACCTAAACACTTGTTGCTCAAGTTTAGCGCAATAACTGATCAGTTGTGCTGTTTTCTGAATAGCTACATTTTATTTCTGTACTTTCTTCAACTACTCAGCTAGCTCATATTACAAGCACTAATCCTGTAAAAATAAAAGTAAGGATGACAAATCTTGGAGGAATCAGAGATTGACAAGAGGTAGGGTAATCAGGTGCTAAAGAGAGAAAAAAGTGGAGAGAAAAACTACTATAACTATAAAAAAGATATCATGGTAAAGTGTAAATTACAAATGTCACATAAAAGAATGTACAAGCCAAGTGAAAAATTTGAGAGGACAAGATTAACTTGTGAAATTGTAATACTATATACAAATCAAGTTTTCAGGCTCTCAAGACAGGCCACAAAATAAGCCATTAAATTCCATTGAAAGTGAAATACCAGGGAATAGGCTTACTGTATGCTTGGATATCCAGAAATCCTGATATAAACATAGGACATTGAATTAGGAAAATAGAGACGTGTATGTTTGTTAACGCTAACTTTGTGTAGTGACCACTGTTTGACTTGATTTACACAAATGCATTTGGGGTAGGTTTTCAGTATACCATTCAAATTTAGAAAGTTTTGTTTTTTCATGTGAAACAAAGAATTACTGAACTGTGTAAAATTTCTACTCTTTTAGTAAATAAGTCCCATTAAAGCTGAACTATATACACCCGGAATCTAACAGTGTGCCAAATCTGGAACTCACTTCTGACCACTGACATTGTCAGGTGGCCATCTTCTGCGTCACAATCGCCAGTCACTGTCATTCGCACTCCCACCTATTACTAAATTTGTGCACTGAGCTCTGCTTGCGCAGCTTACTGTACACGGGCAGAGAGGCAGGTTTTTTTTTTTTATTACGCTCTTCGTTTGTAATGGGGCTTTTTGATAATTCATGATTTAATACTGTTAATGGGGTTTAGGTCGACAGTCTCAATTTTTGCCTCAACTTCTCTATGGTCACATATCTATCCATCTTAGCTCTAGTCTTGTTTACAAATGACTGGCCAACCCCAATGCTGTACCCTGACTCTACCTCCCTATATTGTTTGATGTTTGTTCTATATGAGCCTTATGCTCTTTGGAGTGGAAGTATCAGAGACTTGGGATACAGCAATGTTTGGGGTGACATCCTGCACTAATTACATTGAGCCCCGGCTCCCTAATTTTAATTGACAACGTTGTCATGTTTTTAATGGTGACGGGTGGAGACTTATCTAATTTTTTTATGCGTTTTTTCATGATGTTTCATTTATATGTGGTTTTCAATAAAGCTAAACTTTCCTAGTCAAACTATCTGGGTCATACAGTAGTACCTTTTTTCCCTTAGGGGGGGTTCTCCCTAAATATATTTTTGCAAGGCAGGTAAGTAGCTCTAATGCAGAAGACACAAAGCATGCCAAGGAGGATATTCTATTAATTACAGGTTATATTGTTTGAAAGAAGACATGACAATAGGCCCAGGACCTTCTTTCAGATGATTTAGGGCCCTCTTAGTTTATCTGAACAATGGGATCCCAAACCTCTTTGTTTCCCATATATCCACTTCAAAGGATCCCCTTATTTAGACAAGAAATGAGAGTGGCCATCATTTCAGGAATGCATACTGTAATTTCTGGATACCCTGTGAGGCCTAACCTGTGAATATGCAATTTTCCCTTCAAAAAAGGTTTGCTAAGCCTTTGCATGAAATTGGGTGGAGTTATGGTAAAAGGATATTAGAAAGTGTCCAATCCTAAAAGGATGAGTCAAATATGCAGAGAGGACATAGATATGCCCACCAATCAGTACTACTGCATGTAAGCCTGTAGAAAAGAAGCCGAAGGGTGCCAACAATAGCCTTAAAAACATAAAAACAGCTTGAGGTGTTAGAGGGGGAAACCAGGAAGAGTCTTTGGACCTCCAGAATACAGAATGAGAATGGGACTTCAGTTTTAATGGTAATTTTGAAATAAATCCCTGGCACCGAAATATATGTGTTTATCTTAGGCTTTGTCTACTGTTTGTATGATTAATACTATGTTGAGCATGCTTAAAAATTTCTCTGATTAACCATTTAACCATTTCAATACCATGCAATTTTACACCTTCCTGCCCAGGCCATTTTTCAGGTTTCAGCGCTCTCACACTTTGAATGACAATTGCGCGGTCATACAACACTGTACCCAAACTAAAATTTTATCATTTTCTTCACACAACTAGAGCTTTCTTTTGGTGGTATTTAATCACCGCTGGAGTTTTTATTTTTTGCTAAATTAACAAAAAAAGACCAAAAATTTTGAAAAAAAAAAAAACAAATTTTTCTTTGTTTCTGTTATAAAAGTTTACAAATAAATAATTGTTCTTCATAAATTTAGGCCGAGATGTATTCTGCTACATGTCTTTGGTGAAAATAACCCAAATTAGGATGTATTATTTAGTTTGTAGGAAAGTTATAGAGTTCACAAACTATGGTATAGATCTGAATATTGATCAATCCTGAAGTACTGGCAGCCAATCTAATTTCTTGAGGTCCAAGAATGTCAGAACAGTACAGATATCCCACAAATGACCCCTTTTTG